TGATAATTTGGTATCAAATGTTGGTATTACTAATATTGTTGATGAGGTTGGTACTAGTAGGAGACGTCTTAGATCCCAATTTGTGGATTTTGGGAGTGATAGTGAAGAATCAGAGGGATGCAAGAGTGATGTAACTCTAGATGGAGATGTGGGAGGTGAGGATGACATTCCACGCGAATATGTCATTGTAGACAAAAATAGAGGGAAGAAAATAAAACCAATTAATCTTGACTTGATGGATTTTGATACTTCGTTAACCGAATCGCAATTCCGGGTTCTTCGTCAGCTAGTTGGGGCTCCGATGAATATTGAGATGCTCTTGCCTAAAAAAGGCGAACGATTGTATGCACCCCCTGACGAGTTCCACTCCCAATATGTCGCTTATTTGACATGTAGTTCGCAGATTGTGCCTGACTCGACCTTTTTGAAGATATGCGAGGAATTTAGGGTAGGGTATAGTCAATTAACTCCGAACGTGATTCTCACGCTCGAGGCGTTTCAACAAAGAATGAGCGAAGTAGGATTACCGACTAGTGTCAAGATGTTCAAGGCGTTGTTTACACTACATCGTGCAAGTAGTTTACCCTTCTTCTGCACACATCCTCGGGTTCCTTACAAAATTTTGAAGGCGATTAAATTGAATTGGGAAAAATGGAGTACTTTATTTTTCTATGTGAGGGCTCCGACGTTCGATGTTCCCCTTGTTTGGAATCCGGTATGCGAAACTTTCAAGATAATGAAGAATATGAAGAAACGGATTAGGGAGTCGAGGTTGTGTGATTTGGAGTTTGATCCGAGTTATATGATTCCGAAGGGTCAGAAGCCCATATCCTTTCGTGTAGTCTACTAGATTTATTTATGCATATGTGTTTTATTTTTTCTTGTCTCTGTTATTTCTTATTATCCACCTGTTAGTAAAGGGTTGCTTTTTTTTTTAGATGGGTGTATAGATTTTGCGGCCCTTCGGGCTAAGGATACTGGAGGTGCAACAAAGCAAGCGAGGAGGGACCCCTTGAAGCAAGCGAAATCAAGTAGTAACAAACCGCGCGAAGTGACCCGCGTGGAGGCCCCTCATGTGAGTGGAGATGATTGTAACCATAGTGTTTAGGGGATGAGATGGATCGCGTGGTTAATAATGGGAAGGATAAGGTGGTTGAGATCGAGTATGTGCCTGCACCGAAACGGCCTCGAGTGGATCCTGAGGTTTCTCATGTCCCTCAAGGGGGGGCAGGCAAATGCCTGTTCACATACGGGGTGAACCGAGAGGGGAAGGATTCCTTTTGGGATACGACCGATCGTACAATCGTGCTGAGGAAGACCGAGGGTTTCGTTGGGGAGTACGACCGAAGTCGGATATCGGGTAAAGGTCGTGCTCATATGCTTTCGTTGGCCAGAGGAGACATGTGTTGGGTAAATATTTGTTTTAAGTTAATATGTTTTTCGTTTTTAATCATATGTCTCGATAATCTAATGTTTTTTGTCTATATTTTGATATAGCTCATAGCTACATGGAGGTATCTCGTGGAGCAGGAGGAGAAAGTCGAAAGGACCAATGAAGAGAAGCGTGTTGGCTGGGAGGCAAGAGAGAAAGATTTAAAGGCTCAATTAGAGGCATCGGAATCCAAACTCGAGGTGGCTCGGACTTTGCTCTTTCTGAGGACCGATGAGTTGGAGATTAGTAGGAGCGAGACCGAGGCGAGTAGAATTGAACTAACAAAACTAGATCGGTGCTATGACGAGCTGAAGGACAAATATGACACCGAGAAGTTTACAGGGAAGAAGTTTATGGCTTCATCAGCTGGAGCCGCCTACAAGGAGTCGGTTATGTTTGAAGGGGAGCGTCGTTTTCAGAAGAGTGATATTTGTCGAGCAATGATCGAGGAACAAGCGATAGCTGGGGTTTATGCTCCGTTGGTTAGGACGTGGCGTCAGTACTTACGCAAGGTTGGTGGGATTGATGAGAAGATTATTCGAGGTATGGATGAGGATATTCCCGATGAGGGAGAGGATATCGATGTCGGGTGTACTGAAATAGCCTCGGATGCGGAGGCGGATGACCGAACTACCGAAGCTACTTCGGCTCGTAAAGTGTAGTTTGGTGTGATGTTTTTCTTACTTTCTTTAGGAGAGGACTTAGTTTTATTTTTTATTTTTATTATTAAGTGGGTATGTCCCCTAGTACTTTCGCATGCTTCATGACTTTATATTTGTTTGCATGTTGACACGTTGATTTTATTATCAAAGTTATTTTCCCTTCTTAGTAATTGATTTTGTCACGGTGTGATTCGTTGCACTAATGTTTTACATTTAGCATTGTGCGTGATGTACTTGATGAGGGGATCAGTCTCTCAAGATTTTTTTTTTATTAGGGATCATGCCCTTTATTTTGGACCTCGTGGGTCGTATATATTGTTTGGACCGTGGCCACGTCTTAAAACGGATGACCCCGTAAATCAACATAGACAGATTCAGGTAATCCAGCTGGCCAGGTTATATAGACTATCTTAATTTCTCTACGTGTTTGTAGGGTTGTAGTGATATGAATCCGTCATAACGGTTAAGTAGTATATGAACAATGACATTAAGAGTAAAGCAAAAACTTGATTTAATCATTAACGGAAAATGCGAATTGTCATAAGCCTCCATGAGGCGAAGGGAAATAAACTTTTAAGAAACAAATGAGTCGAAATATTGAAAACTATTCTACGTGACTATAAGAATTTATTCTTCTTCCACGTCTTCCTTGTACTCGTATGTGCTTGATGTACGGGTGGTATGTCTATTGTCTTTGGTGTCTCTATGCCTGAAAAGTATAGTAGAAATTGTTTAAGTATTTGTATTGAAGACTTAGTAGTTTCATAAATTGGGGTGATGCGTATTACAGGGTCACGTACCCAATATGGAGACTTTTTCTCTTTCTTGTATTCCGAGATATGAGATCAACTCGTGAGTTGCGGTGATTTGCTGCGTAATCATGCCTGTCAAAGGAGATAGAACTACTATGTTAGTATAGATATCCAAGAATGTGCGTGTGATATGACTTAGTAGAAGTGGTGTTACCCTTTGTGAGATAGTCCGGAGTATCTTCTCTCTTTGGGCAAGTGATGGGCGGTAGGCATCCTCTCGTAATTGATTCTCAATCTGTAAGAAGGTGATGAGATGTGGTTATGGAATGCTGATGTAGGTAATATTAATAGCCCCCAGTTTGGGTGGGACGTTTACGCATCTCGCTATGGAGTGGGAACTTCTCGAGTGTTTAGAGACATTTTTGCAAGACGAGGGACGTGGAAGGTCGCGAAGCCTGCAAGGGTAGTTTTTTTTAAGCGACTTTTGTATGAGGAAGATGTAGATGCAAACTTAAACAAATTTGAAGTAAGGTGGATGTATACCTCAAGCATAGAACCTTTTGAGGTTCCCTATATTCCAGATTCTGGGTATAGGGTGTCCGTCAAGGTTCTCGAGACGATATGCTCCACTGTTGACCACTTGTGTGATTTTATATGGTCCTTCCCACTTCGGGTCGAGTTTACCGATTGGGCACAAGGCTTCAGCTTTGCGGAGAACTAAATCTCCTATTTGGAAATAGCGAAGGCGGACTTTGGAGTTATAAGCTTTCGCCATGCGACTCTTGTACATTTGTTGTCGAATAGAGACGATCTCTCTTAGTTCGTCGACGAGATCGAGGTTAGCTCTCATTGCTTCTTCATTTGCCTCTGGAGAATAGTTGATGAATCTCCAAGAGGGTTTGCCAATCTCGACGGGTGCCACAACCTCTGTTCCGAAAGCTATGTTAAATGGAGATTCCCCTGTTGCTGTTCGTGGGGTTGTTCGATATGCCCACAGAGCATTGGGTAATTCTTCAACCCATTTTCCCTTGGCACTTCCAAACCTTGTCTTGAGATGTTGAAGTATCGTGGGATTAGTTACTTCAGTTTGACCATTTGCTTGGGGGTTGGCAACTGAAGTAAAGAATTGCTTAATAGATAAGCCAAGTCACCAATTCTTTACTTTGTCCCCACAAAATTGGGTCTATTGTCTGAAATAATGGAACTAGAGATCCCGATGCAGCACACGATGTTCTTCCTGAGGAATTGTATGATGTCTACCTCTCGGATGCGAGCTAAAGTTTCTGCTTCCACCCACTTGGTGAAGTAATCTACAGCTACAATTAGGAACTTGCGTCCTCCTGTTGCTGGTGGAAAAGGACCGACCAAGTCAACTTCCCATTGAGTGAAATGTATGGGACTGTCAATCGGTTGCATCAAAGGTACACTTTTGAAAGTGTTTTATCTTTTTTTTCATAAAGTTGCATTTGGAAACATAAATAATGCATCTAAACTGTAAATTTAGATTTTACACACTTTTAATTATTTGGTATATACCTAGATTATAAATATTTTCTAGTATTTGGTTTTCTTGTTAAAATTCTAACATGCTATATTTTCAAATTTTGGTAATTCCAAGCATAGTCCTTCAACTTTTCAAAAATTTCAATTTAGTCTTCAAAATGTTAAGATATTGCAGTTCAGTCCACCACAGTTATACTTTAGACCTATAAGAGGGGGGATAGGTTGTTTCGAATGATTAAAACTCCAGAAGTGGATACACATGTAACTAAAGTCTACTAGAGCTAGCAGTATCGTACTCTCATCATGTAACACCCCACATTTTCGAAAACCTAATCCCTAACCAAAGTTCCATAACCCGAAAATTCTCACGTAGGAATTATTAGGAATTTATTTACCTTATTAACTTAATTTCTCTAAGTGCCTTATTCACTTATACTATTAATCCTTATATGCCGATTTGATTATATGACTTATGTGCTAGGAATTTATTGAATAATTATGTGCCAACTTTATTTCGGTAATTATGTGCTTAAGTGGATTAAATATTTATAATTGTGTGCTGTAGCGCCCCGCCCCGAGTAGCAGGCACCTCGTGGCGGAACACCACTCAACATGCAGTACATTCAATGACCCCAATTATGCTCCTCAAAATTTCGATGATCAAAACATTAAACCCCCAATATCTATACCATCGTGTTTACAAAAGGAGGTTCTATTACAAGTCGACTTCGACACCACTTACTCTATTACAAAATTCTCGATCAAAGGATTCCTATACGGAACATAATTAGAGATACCTCTCGACGAGACTAATCGGAGGCATACACGAGCTTTAGCACTTGGTATAAAAATTTAGGTCTAAGTCTTTCTTTTACCTGCGCATTAATATCAGAAAGGAGAAACGAATAAGTCCGAATGACTTAGTGAAAAACATATGATCCATGAGTATGATGAGAATCAACAGAACAGAACATATAACAAGAGACTTTACAAGAATTTCATTAACAGAAGTGTAACATGTACAAGAGTGTAACATGTACGGCTTGAGTTCAATATTTGGTGGGATCTCCAACCTTGTAACTCCCAACAAATAAAATCATATCACCTCCTTATCCCTCCAATCCGTCCCGAGTGGCCACTCGGTCGGAAACAGGCAAGAGGCACGACCGGAACGTGCCGATCCGGCTCAGGAACGTTTAACTCCAAACGAACGTGAGTCCGAACCATCAGGAGGTACCATTCGGGAGACCAGTCATCGTCAGCCCAATACTGCCCGATCGTCTTGCCGAAATGGTCCTAGGGCCCAGCTCCCCCAAGAGCGTCCTCAAGGGTGGGGACAGTAGGTTCAAGAATCAATATTATTCCTTTTAGGAATATCAAGTCATTCATTTCAAGAATCAAGTCAATCATTCACCAGATAAGTCATGATCACGATAATCGAACATCAAGTCTCAGGATAATGAACATGTTCGAGAATTCAGTTCAAGCCAATGAAAGAATTGTCGTGAATATGCAATTCAAGAAGAACAATAAGTTCCATGTCAGGTTCCAAGAACGAGTATATCAGGATCTCAATGAATTCAATAAACATGAGATTCAAGTTCGAGCCAACAAAATATTTATTCTCGGAAAGCATTCAAGACAAGATTTTGAGAATAAATATAGTTCAATATCGATTCAAGGAAAATGTTCAGGCCAGGGAATCAAGTATAGGAATTAGCCGTGAACATAGCAACCAAGAGAATTGACAAGTTCAAGATTTCAAGAACAAGATCAAGGCTCCAAGTTCGAGCCAAGAAAACAATATGCTCGCAGAACATTAAGGATCATATTTCAAGAACAAATATAATAAAGGTATCAAAGGCTTCAATATGTACAAAATATTCGGTTCAAACAAAGGAGATATTATGCGCAGGAAAGAAATTGGATAAGGAGTCATAGTTTCTCACCTGGAGTCCAACGCTAGTGCTATAGAAGCATCATTAAGCTTAAACCTTGAGTGAGAGCTTTACTATGCTCAACACCTATGCAAATATTAGAACTAAATAAGATTCCGAACAGTAATATAGCCATATTACCATCCACTATATGACATAGTCAATTTCTTAAACATATACTAAGAATTGCTTCTCGCGACAATTTATTCAAATAATCACTGCGGTCGTCGTACTTATCCGAATGACCTAAATGATATATAAATTTAAAGATAACATACGTATCTACAAGTTTACTGAAGACAGTAATCCCAAATTAACAACATAACCCGTCAATAACAACCCCGAAAGATGAACACATAAACCTGCCAGATTTTCGGATAATTTCGTTTACTGTCACAGTCTGTTTGAAAAACCATAACAAATTGTACGGTTATCCAAATTGTCCAAATAATACATCAAATGAAACCTGTCAACTTAATCTACAAGTTTCATGAAGACACACAGCCCAAATTATGATCCCAACATATCGAAAACAGTCCCGCAAGAAGATACTCAAAACTGCCCTGTTTCCGGCAGATTACTGTCATCGGATTCCGACCTCTAAAACACGTATATTAAATACTCTAATTCGATACAACTGAACACTTACTTATAGTTTACGATGTCCTCTACGAGTTTCCTGAAGGAACCGATTCCAAATTCGCATTCGAAACCCTTCGATTTCGGCTCCGAAAACAGGTGCGGCAGCAGATTTTGCTTCCCTTCGTTTCAACGAGCGAGCTGAAGTTCTAGCCAATTCCGATGACCACCGCTGATGTAGACAATCAAGAACCACCACCACTGGAAATCTAACTTATTAAGGTTTCGAACGGTACCTTCGGATCATCGATGCTCCATCTTTAAGACCTCCGTTTAATTGATTTACGGAAAAGGCAAAACTATGAAATTGAAATTCTGGACAGCTCGTCTTCTTTGTCGGATTCCAGCCACCACCGCCGGCGACTGCTGCTGGAGACCACCACCACTATAAATCTGACTTCCCAATATTTCTAATGATATGAGCTGATCATTAATACCCTTTGCTAAGGCATCCACGCAGCCCCGATTATGCTGATAATATGAATTGGGGATTTCAGCCAAGAATCAATATAGAAGAGAGAGAGAGAGAGAGAGAGAAACGGTGAGAAGGTGAGAGAAGAAGAAGAAACGTGGCGGCCAAAGAAGGAATTAGAATAGACGAAGTACACGTTGGTTCTTATCTCACTTGTAAATTCTAAAATTAGCTTATAGGGCCAAATAGTTTTCTTAATTACCAAATAGATGCCATAAGTTTAGATAATTACAATTCTACACTTCCCATCAAATTCGAGATATATTATAATTCCATATCGACACATATCAACTAAATAAATTCAATTATCCCCAGACTTAAACAACTTACATATTTACGGGGTGTTACACTCTGCCCTCCTTAAAAGAATCTGGTCCCCAGATTCTCAACTATTATTCGAACATGGAAATACAATTTCCTAAAATTATCTTCTTGCTCATCCGTCGCTTCTTCAACTTGGTGGTTTCTCCATAATACCTTCAAGTCTTGATCAAGGAATTCGTTATCAAGAGGAATACACTTATGCGGGTAGTCTCTAGGAGGTTGGTTCCGAAATAGGGATCAATCCCTATTTATATGATAAGTTATTCCCAAGCTACGGTTCTCATGCTTGTCCACATGTCAAAGTGTGATGATTTACACTAATCCAACACTCAATG